GCCGACGTCGAAACGGCGATTTCCCCCGCAGGCCATGGCCACCTCGAAGTCGAAGAAGTCGTCCAAGGGCCCCGTGCGCCGCTCGTCGCGCGCATCCAAGGCGCCGACGCGGTTTCGCCCCGCGTCCGCGGACATGCCCGAGGAGATCGCGGTCATGATCCGCGACGTCGCCGCGAGCGTCGCCGCGGACAGCGACATCCCCTTCGCGCCCGAGGCCGTGTCCATGCTCGAGGAGATGCTCGAGCCCATCTTCGAGGCGCTCATGATCAAGGCGCTTGAGCACGCCGTCAAGGCCGGCCGCGAGGCCATCACGGAGGCGGACATCCTCGCCGTGCGCTCGTCCGTCGTCGGCAAGGGCAAGAAGTGAGCGCGGCCAGACCTCGAGGCCCCGACTGGACGCGCGCGGCCCTCGCGTTAGTTACGTCGGCGCGACTTCCGCCGTGACTTTCCCCATGCTGGGTCATCTGGAGGCGCGTCTAGAGGCTGAGGGGCGGTAAGCTCAGGCCGCCGGGAGGAATCGAGGAGGAGGGGGCGCGAGGGACACCTATGAGGGGGGGGTGGCAATTCTACTGGTCCTCGGCGTCGTCGCAGGAGCCGCAGAAGGTGAACCACGCGCTGAAGAAGTACTGGACCTCGTCGTACTCGGGCGCCAGCTCGAGCGTGGCGCCCGGGCCGTCGCCGTCGGCGGCGCGCGTCGCGAGCGTCATCTCGCCGTCCGGGCCTTCGCTCAGGTCCTCGTCGGGCGCGTCCTCGCCGATGGCGTCGTCGTCCGCGGCCGCCTCCTCGTGGACGTCGGCGACGCCGCGGAGGCCCACGAGGCCGACGACGACCTTCGCGACGACCGTCCGCGAGTTGTTGGCGTCGAAGTTGGGCACCGTCGCGAGGTTCGGCACGCCGGGGATGGGGAACTGGCTGAGGTCGAGGGACATGCACTTGACGATGGCGTTGACGACGGGATTCACGAGGCCGCCGAAACCCGGGAACGGCGCGAAGCTGCTCACGAGGGCCTTGAGCCCCCGCCGCACGGACCAGATCGCGAGCTGCGCCGCGCGCTCGCGGTGGACGCACGCGAGCACCATGGCGTTCTCGCGGGCCGCGGCGCGCGCGTCCGCGGCGGCGCCGCCGTCGGCCGCGGGCGGCGCGCCGCCCGCCGGGGCCGGGCTTCCCGCGGGCGCCTGGAGGCGCGCGCGAAGGCCCGCGCCGACGACGCCGTACCACTTCTTGAAGTCCGCGGCGTCGTCGACGACGAGGTAGCTGCCGGTGGCGTCGCGGAGCACGTAGCAGACGACGGGCGGCCGGTCCGTCGTCGTCACCGCCCCCGTCTTCTCGGCCGCGCCGCGCCGCGGGACGCACGCGCGGCCGTCGGAGCGGCAGACGCGGCCCATGGCGTAGAAGCGCGCGTCGCAGTAGAGCAGGTCCAACTTGTTCTTGGGGTCGATCATGCTCTCGAAGATCTTCACGAACGGCGCCCAGAGCGCGTCCATCGCGCGCGCGACGACCGCGCGCATCGCGTCCGCCGCGCCGCGCCGCGCGCCCGCGGCCGCGCGCGCGCGCGCGCCCCGGAGGTCGCACCTGAGGATCTTCTTTTTCGGGAGCGCGACGTCGCCGCCCCGCGCGGCCGCGTCGACGTACGCGCGGACCTCGTCCTGGGCGCGCTCGACGACCGCGGCCTCGACGTCGCCGGCGGTCGGCGCGGCGGCGGCGGCGGCTTCCATGCGCACGCGGAGCTCGTCGTCCGCGGTCCGCGCCACCGACCGCGTCGTCAGCCACTTGCCCCGGGCCGCCTCCCAATTTTCGCGAGGCCCTCCTCCTGGCGCGCGAGGGCCGCGTCCGCGTCCGCGTCCGCCTCGGCGCCGCGCGCGAGCAGCGCGTTCCAGAAGGGATCACTGTCGACGGCCGGATCGGCGCACTCGGCCTCGAAGACGCGCCGCGCGCTCGGCGCCTCCGCCTCGGGGAACGCGACGACGAGCGTTCGCCCGCCGTAGCGGAGGCGCACGACCAAATTCTGGGCCTCCTCCTCCGCCTCGCCGTCGTCGTCGTCCTCCTCCTCCTCCTCGGCCGGGCAGCACGCCTTCCGGCACCCGTCGAGGCAGCGGCCGCAGCAGCACCGCGCGACGCATCGCACGAGACACATGCACGACCCCACGACGCACGCGTAGCAGCAGTTGTAGCAGCATTTCGCGCAACGCTGGCACGTCCGGCGCGGACACGCGAGGCAGTCGGCGAGCGCGCTCATGCCTGTGTGGAAATCAACCACTGGTTTGGGACGTCCCGACAAAACTGTGAAATTCTCTAGCTCGGCTAATTTTTGGACGAATCGATTGCTCTCGTCGAGTCCTCGAAACACGACAGAAACTCACGTCGAGACGGTCGAATACGCGCACATTGAAGTCGGGTTGAAGATTTGATTTCCACACAGGCTCATGCAGTAGTGGACGAAGAGGAGAAAGCAGACGGGTGCGAAGAGCAGCAGCTGGACGAGCGCCGGGGACCGCCGGAGGATGAAGAGGCTTTCGCCGATGGCCCGGTTCGCGTTGTAGCGCTTGCCGCGGCCCGCCCGCGCCGGCTCGACGGGTACGCCCGCCTCCGTGGACACCTTCAAGCGCCGCAGGGGTAGGAATTCGCCCATGGTCGCGCGGTGGAGGCTGTACGCGCCTAAACGGCCGGGCCGCGACGTCGTCGTCTTCATGATGGACCACGCGGTCTTCGTCATCCGGCCCATCTCCATGGCCACGCCGGCCGCGCGCGGGGGCCGCACGAGCACCGCGCGCCGCGCCAGGATCATCTTCTCGGCCTCGCGGACGCGGAGCACGAGGTCGTGCACGGGCATGGCATTGATCGCCGCGTCGACCTTGGGGTCCGTGATGAGCTTGCGCTGGACGAACTTGACGGTGCTGTTTACGCGCTTATCGAGCGATGCGGAAATGCTCCGCGTGAGCTGCTGGACCCGCCCCAGGTTCTCAGCCTCGGACTCTGCTGATGCCTCCGCTTCGG